GTTTAACAGATCCGCAAGCGCTCTACACAATTCCCAAAGTCACTGCCAGATAGCGGATATAGAGGTCGACACCTGGCACGAATGCCCCATCGAGTCGACCCATCAGGGATTGCATCGAAGGTACAGCAGAATGTACCCGTGAGTCATCACTTCATCTGGAGTTTCACCACTGACACAAGATGCAGTTTTCCCATCGTCGCAGAGATATTGCAATCGCGGCAAGTTGCCGGAAGTCAAAAAGGCACGATAGTGCCCGCTCTGAGCGGTCGCACCCTGATGGATGAGCACTGCATGTAGTCTGTAGTGAACTAAGTATGTGGCGATGGCGGCTGCTGAAGGCTCACATGGGTTTTGGAAACAAGGCAGAGATATTCTCATGTCAAGGATGATACGGGAGGTATCCTTGAGGGGCGAGTCTGCAATCGATGATGAAGCATCAGGGTGCTCCGATGCTCCGTGGAAACGATTTAACTGAAGAGACAGTAACATCGGAGCCTCAGAGAGAGCCATCACACCGATCTCCGCTTCACCTTGCCAGATGTGAAGGAGTTTCTGCACTGTGAGATTGACGCGGGTTTCATCGGATAGCTGGGAGATCGGCGTTGAAATGAAGAGTGGCCATGTCTCCCCACAGTCAGTGACCTCACATCTGACAACAGGGGAGTCCTGGTGTAGGATACGGCGTTGCCAGCCTCCGGTAACCAGGTCTGGAATGAGGAACCGCCTGAAGAAGGACAGGTATTCAGCTGCATCGTGCTGTCTATGAGGCTGCTTCCAGCTCGAGTGAGCCAATGACCATGGCAGCACAGTCCACAGATCTGGGATCCGGACTTGATGACTCATTCTCAGCATGACTGTACGCATGGCAGTGTCCCAGATCTCCTGAGTTGCAGGCAGGAAAGAGCAGAGCCAGTGAATGGCCTGCAGTGTGGCATTAGCATAGCAATGATTGTTGCGGTTCTCAATGCTGGCTGTGGGCCGAATCAGTGCTCGCGCTGCCTCTGGAGATGCTTCTGGAGCTCGGTGGCGAGCGGGCTGCGGGACATTCGCTCGGTGCGAAGGGAGCCTCCCACTAGCTGCCATAGGGCGGAATTGGCGAGGAGGATCAGGTTCTCGTACAGCTCGAAGGAGGCCTTGGATCGATTCCCCACTTGGAGAAGAAAGGGGAGTGTGGGGCCCTGGATGGGTGCCGCCAGCTTCTGAGTGGGATGGAAGCAGAGAATGGCCAAGGAGTCGAGTGAGTGCTTGAGGATGGCTGCCAGAATCTCCACGACACGCTCCAGAGTGAGAGGAGCTTGATCCTTCTTCGGCTCCAGTTGACGAGTCTCGGTGTTGAACATCAGGTAGGGGATTCGTAGAGGCNNAGAGGCTCGCCCTCCTTGTCCGGCAGAAACACCTGGAGCTGCTGTGCCGCCTCGAGCTGTGTGGGGTTCTTCACTGTCTCCTGGAGCCTCTCCTGAATGGCATCGAACATGGAGCGGAACAGGAAGGTTCGAAGGGCCAAGGAGAGTTCCGCATCTTTCTGAGCCTTGAGCTCGTGCCAATGTTCGCTCTTCTTGGCAAGGAGAGGTATGATGCTCATGCGGGATGCCGGACGAAAGAACATCACAACTGCATCCTTGTCGAACTCCCGAGTGAAGCTCTACCAGGATATGGTGATCCTTGTGGTCAATGAGAAGCTTGGAGTGCCTGTGGATGTGAAGAATGAGATCGATTAAGTCCGCGTCGACCTGTGCAAAGCGCAGGGATGCATGGAGGACTTCGCGAGGTAAACAATCGAAAGCTCGAGAGAGATCAAGGGAAAGTGTAAGGCCTCCGCGGCAATGACCTGCTTTATGTCCTTCTCTTCTTCTATGAAGATTATATTTTTGTCCTTCAAGCATAGTGCGTGCTGTTGCACAGTGTGCACAGGCACGTTCAATGGCATCCTCCACGGATCGCATGCTGACGTATGCGAACTGAGGAAACCGACATGCTAGGTCGTAGACGTAGGGTCGCAGCCTTTCAGCTGCAAGGGTAGCAAGGCATTTGGAGACAGGGCGCAGTAATGCAATCGGCCTCAGGTTCTCGGGCGCTTTTGGAGGTTTGGAGGGTTTGTTGAGCAAGCAGAGGGCCGAAGTAGGCCAGTCGCCGGGCATAGGATTCTGCATGTTGTCGCACCATACCTGTAAAGCAGGATGTAACGCTTCGGCGATGGGGGTCGCGGCAAGGGCCCAAAGCGGTGAAGGCGCAACCCAGGGTGGAAGTGCTTTGCCTTGTGGCAGGTGCAGCAGGGCACTCTGTAGCTCTGCCTCAGTAAAGGCCGGGAAGAAGTTACCCGGTGGGGGTGCTTCAGGCTTGTCGGAGAGATATAGAGCTCTGAAGTAATCTTTGAGGCCCTTGACTTCTTGTTCTGTGGACAGTGGTGCCCCTGTTGAGTCTCTGAAGAGGATGGGCTTTCTAGTACTTTTGGGGGCCAATTTGCGCACCACCTGGTATACAGCTGTGAGACCTTTGTGGGCAGCTTGCTCCGCCTCACTAAGGATGCGTTGAATGCGGTCCTGTTGGGACTGCTTGCAGGCTAGTTTTAGGGCCTTGGTTTTCGAGCGAAGCTCGGATTCTAGAGGCCAGGGCGAAAGGTCGTTGGGAGCCCGAGAGGAGTGGAATATCCTTCTGGCACGTCTGAGCTCCCAGAGGTGCAGGATTGTTTGTGTATGAGCTCCTGGGCCTGAAGGCTGCAAACAAGAGGGTGGTTGGCATTGAAGCCAGGCCTCAAGTAATTTATCAGAGATCGTGTCTGGGGTGGAGTGTCGTAGAAGTTGTGTTGCCTTCGATGTGTAGGTAGGGGCAAGGTCGGGAGAAATACGTAGTGCCTGTTGAGACTTGTCTAGCGGTTTTGTGACGTTGTTTCGGTAGACTGGGAGCGGGAATGGATCCCAGGAGGGGCAGGTGCCGCATACCAGTATCTTCGACAAAAGGAAGCCACGTAGGGGCACAGGTGCGGGCTTGACCGTCCGCCTGGGGTAGTCTGGTGAGGATAAAGTCGATTTGCGTGCCCCTGTGTCCTGTAGCCGGCAGGAAGGTTTGTGCCTGGGTGCCAGCGCGACGCCAGCAGTTGAGAGCACACAATGAGAAGGTTGTCAGCAGCTGTTGAAATTCGTGCTGATCTGGAGGCTGCTTACTGAGGCGCGTGTGCACACCAGGGCCAACATGGGGAGGATCTGGAAAGAGATCGGTGTTAAAGTCTCCGATCAGTAAGACAGAGTTACGTGAGGGAAAGCCGGAGAGGCTTTGGTGAACCTTGGTCCAGATCTTCGAGCGCTGCGCCTGAGCATGTTGAAGGCCTTCTTGTCCTATGTGCTTAGCACTGGTGCAGAAAAGGTGCTGATCGAGAATAAGCACATCAATGGAAGGGTTGAGCTCGAGGCGTAGGTGAATCAATCGCCCTTCAACGAGGCAGGTGAGCTGCACTTTGTGTTTTGGGTACATGAGCTGGTTCACCAGGATGAGGATTCCGGCAGATTTGTCATGGTCAGAATAGTGAAAATGGAAAGCAAGCCATCCGTGTGCCTGAAAATTGGCATCGTGGCGCCAGTGTGTCTCCTGCACAGCCACGATGTGCAAGTATTTTCCTGAACCCTGAAGCCATAGTAACAATTGTTGATAGCGATCTCTTGACAAGCCACCTGCGTTCCACGACATGACGTGGCTGCGTGGTGGTGCGCGGCCAGTTGGGCAGGGTCGGGGGCACCTTGGAGGCGTACATGGCTGCGAATCAGCGAGTGGGAGAGTAAAGCGATGACCACGGTAGGCGGTGTTTCCGGTACGATCGAGTCTCCGTAGAGCCCGTAATAAGGAGCGCTTGCGGATTGCTTTAAAGTTGGGGGTCTCGGTAAAAGAGAGACCGAACGGCTTTGCCGTTGCGGTTGCTTGTGGTGGGTGCCAGTGTCTGGCTTCAGGAGGATGTCGGTCGACAGTGCCTCCAACCCTCGGCTCAGTA